TGCACAATATGATGCATTTATGGCCTCTTTAGCCCGGTCTATTTCATCTTTATCAATGTCCAACAATGTAATTTTCCTAGTTTCTCAATTCACCTTTAATGTTCGATATACAGCAATCCATTTTCCATTACTTCAGCTCCTGGAGATGACTACCTCAGTATTCATATCCGGCAGCTTGGTGATTGGACACAAGAACTTAAAAGGGTATTCTCAGAGGCTTGTGAACCTCCATGGCTGGGAAAAGTGGGCTGCTTAGAGCAGATGAGACAACCAAGAGAAGGTATTATGTCCTTAATTAATACAGTAGTTGGAGCTACTTGTAGATGTCTCAAATTAACAAATGCTGCTTTTATAAATAAATTTGACACAATCTCTTTACTAAATGCTACTTGTAAGTAATCGTATTCTTTAGGTGCAAGTTTGTCAGATAGAATTGACTAACCTCTTTTACCTGCCAACTTTGTCATAATTTTGGTTTCCTTATATCAAAACAGTACTGTAACTGCCTTTTTGAATATATTCCTGTGCATCTTAGTTTGCCAAAGCTATTAATTGATGGACCATATGGGCTCCAGCACAAGACTATTGGAAGTATGACGCTGTTACTTGTTGGTCTTGGGATAGGAGCAACACCATTTATCAGTATCCTAAAAGATTTACTCAACAATATTGTCAAGATGGAGGAGCAGGCCGTAAGTTCCTATGTTCTTACTAAGATGAACTATCTGCAGTACTTCCATCATTCTGCAAATACTGAGACATGCTACCATGTTTTAACAAATTCTTGCATGATATTAATTATTCTGCACAATGTTCTTACTCATACATGAGCTTGATTTCAGTTTCCTAACTTCAGGATTCAGTTACAGACTTCAGTAGGCATTCAGATCAGATTAATGGATCCACAACATCTCCCTCTCTTGACAAGGTTTCTGGAAAACGCAAGAAGACATTAAGGACAACTAATGCTTACTTCTACTGGGTGACAAGGGAACAAGGATCATTCGATTGGTTTAAAGGTGTGATGAATGAAGTTGCTGAACTTGATCAAAGGGTAATGCGATGTTTATGGTCTTCTGTATCAATAGAAGACATTCTAGATCATACGCACTTATGTTTCTGCTTCTGAATTCTAGGGCGTTATTGAGATGCATAACTACTTAACCAGTGTATATGAAGAAGGCGATGCACGTTCAGCTCTCATAACCATGGTTCAGGCACTTAATCATGCTAAAAACGGTGTTGATGTCGTATCTGGCACTAGGGTAAGATGTTTCAAGTATTAGTACTTTTATCATACCCCAAATGCCTGTAGAAAGGCCAGTATATCTATAATTTTGGAATTGAACCGGCTGAATTGAACTGATGGTCAATTTCTCTCATTTTGGTTGATGGTCCAAAGAGATATGGCGATGGAAAATTCGAGGTTTGTGCTTATCTAAGAAAAAGACTAATTCTAATTATCTATTCACAGGTGCGAACACATTTTGCAAGGCCTAACTGGAAGAAAGTACTATCTAAAATTTGCACCAAGCATGCTAATGCTAGGATAGGTAAGTGCATTTTTCTGAACCTAAACATCAGAATTTTATTCTTGTTAGGCAGTGTATCGCAATCATAATTAATTATCTGGACAGGAGTTTTCTATTGTGGGGCTCCAGTCTTGGCCAAAGAACTAGGTAAGCTTTGCCAGGAGTACAACCAGAAGGGTTCAACCAAATTCGAGTTCCATAAAGAGCATTTTTAGAATGCCGTAAAGATAAAATTATGCCATAGAAGAAGTACTTCGATCTTAGCTGAAACACCAAGAAAGATGTGTCAACAGATAGTTAGTTGACTAAACATCATTACCACATTGATGCTCGATTGGAGCACTATAGAAGGGTGAAACGACAGAAAAGGAAAGGCATAAAGAAGGCAGGAAATGTTGTACAGTTCTGCGTTAGGGCAGCAAAAAAATTCATTGAAAAAAAGAGAAAAAGTAGAGATATACAAGTACATTGGCAACGATGGTTTACAGCATTTGTTTAAAGTAGATCCTCACGACCAGAAATGATTCTGGTTGGCTGTGAGATCGATTGAATTTGAATCAGGCGGTAGAGGTTGTGTTTCATGCACGTGGCAGAATCAAAAGGAAAATCGCAGGATGGTGGCCTTCACATCCAATGGAGATCACTGAGACTTGAGAATGCATTACAGCTAAAAGATGTTGACCTTTGTGATAATTGAGCATGAAAGGGAGACGTGACCTTTGTGATGTTAAAAAAAAAAAAAAAAAAAAGCCACTACAATTTTTAGGTGAAGATGAGGCAGGTCTTCTGGATTTGTAGAGTTTGGGGTGGACGGCTTGCCGATTGAACTATTGCATTTTTTGGAGGTGGGCTCCTCAGGGAATCCTAGAAGATCATGCTGATGTAGGTGTCTGCTGCAATTTTTCTCATTATCTTGTTTGTCAGAATGCTAAGCTTGATGACACACTTTTTACCGGTACTGCATGTTTGCTGAAATCAAGAAGGTTAGGTAGGATAATTAACAATATGTAAATGAGACTCACTCAATAGCATCAGTCTTCCACACTCCTCAGACGATTAGAGATACTAAAGTGTATGTAAGAATAAAACTGAATTCAATTTATACCAAGGAATGTTTGGGCATTCCACATACTTGAAAAGCTCTTTTATGGACACCCTTTTCGCTTTTGTGCAGCTCTGGTTTACTGCTGCTGGCGGAATGATGGCTGTTCCGGGCAATTTTGAACAGTGATTAATACTATTTCAAGCCATCGCATTAGACCATCTTTAACTCCTCATCTAGTTATCGCGCTTACAAAACTCTTGTCTAGTTGATTTTAGCCTGTTGAGTTCATCACATGTTGGTCCTTTCCATCCGAAGTCAAATGCAAATCCATCACGAAACATTAAGGTCGCTTTTCTGTTAGTATTTAAAAAACACTTGTGCCTAGCTAGCATTATAACAATCCAATTAATGGCCACCTCATTTGATTATTTGACCCTAGGACTTTCTGAAACATTAGCATGTGCAATTAATCATTCCTGTCTGGCAATTTATTTACTGCTAGTTAGTGCAAAAAAAAAAAAAAAATTGTTATAGAAAAAGAAGAGGAGCCAGAGTCAGCAATCTGTACCCGACAAATTGCAAATTAGCTAAAGACTAAAGCTCAAATTTTTTAGAGCCCGCTGCCGGCAATGCCGCTAGTCTTTTAGTTTCTTTATTAGAAATTTAGGATCATAATTACTTAGCTTTAGCTGCTTAGAATTTTACCGTAGACAATTTAAAACAATATCTTTTTTCTTTGCAATAATTTATGAACTTTCGTCTTACCACAGTCATTCATGCATTTAGGTGTTTTTCGTTCCTACACTTTAGCGTCACTAACTTTCCATCCTACTTTGTAGCAGTATTTATGAATAACTTTGCAATAATACATTTTTTTTTTTTTTATGCGACACAAGTTAATTCAATTAGTAAAGTGAGATCGTCTCTTCAATAAAAGTCGTATATTCAAATCTAGTTACCAAATCTAGATGGGCAGTTTGTAAGACGCTCTAAACAACTTATTATTTTTTGATTTGACAAGAAGAGATTGACATCTTCTAGATAACCTCGCGCCCACTCAAAATAAAGTATATTCTCGGTTGTTTACATCAGAATGAATGGTACTGTATTTCTTCCGCTTCGTTCTTTGTAAATCCAGGCTCAATACTGAAAACACTGGGTAGGCCCAATCTTCAAATTGAGCCCGTGGGTTCTCTGCGCACAAATTTTTGATTCCTTAGGACCAGACGAAGAGAGGAAAGTGATCCATTATCCATAAAGGAAAAAGAGTAATCTTTTCCATTTCAGGAAAAAGATAAAATATGCATCACATTTCTTTTTTTCTGTTTTGAATTTAATGCTTGTTTTTACTTTTTTGGGGGTCAATCAGAAATTCAGAATTAGCTAGGCGTTCTCAACTCAATATGGAGTAAAGGTGCTGGTAAAATTCTCTTCTTTTAGGATTTGGCCTACTGCTGAGTACGAGAAAATTTAAACAGTAGGCATGCAAGCATGTTTTATGCTTTACACAATCAAAGCTCGGTGTCGGCTTCAAAAAGCATAAAATATAAGTATTTATTTGAATCATCCATCTAAATTGAGTTCATATATATTTGTATATATAACTTATTATCCAATTACGTACTAATAATTTTGTACCTACCCAAGCTCTGGAGGCATGGCTCTTATCAGGAGGAGTTTGATGGAGTACCATGTATTTTATCCTGTCTTGGACTTTCGGGTTCTATTCTTCCATTTGGTTGGGATTCCGTAAAATTTCCAACATCTGCGTAGGCTATTGATCAAGAAAGAAACTTGGCCCACTCGTCAAGACATCAACAACTTTCTCTAGATCCACTTGCCCCATTAATTGGCATACCTTCAATGTGCCAAAAAATTTTAGATCTCAAACTCAAATTGTGCATGAAAAGCTGATAAAAGTACCAAAAAAAAAAAACTTTGTAAGAAATATGAAGACGCTTGTTTCACACCTATTGAGTCCTAGGCCGATGCATACTTTTGATGGATTAAAGTTTTTTTTTTTTTTACTGCAACGGTAACAATTCTATAAGTTAATCTGTTATGCTCTACGTGGATGGGATGCTAAATAGGCTATATAAAGGTTAGCAGGTATATAAACCTGACTAGATCCTACGGGGTGGAGTTTGAATCCTGATCTCATGATGGACTAAGTTAGTCTTAGTAGTTTTTTCCTTTGTCGGACTCACACTATTAGCACTACAATACTCCCATAAGGAACCCCATATGCTGTAACGAGTCCGAAAGAGCTGCTGGAAATGAGTGTAAAATCGCGCGTTTTAGACTTTTACGTCATCTCGTGGTACACGTCCGCCCAAGCGGGCACAAGAAAGTCATAGCTTCTCGAAGGTAAAAAGGACCAAATCAAAGCTTAAGCTGAATAATACAATCAATGATCTTATCTTAGTTCCTACAAGTAGAAGACGAAAATGTCTTGGAGAGCTCTAATTGTCAAATTTGAAGCAAAAGTCTCGATCACACAACGCGATATGTTGCAAATTTTCGTTGCTGCTGCATTTTCCAGGAAGGCGTTCCTCTCTACAAATAGGAAAAAAGTGCCATACATAGATAGTACTACAATGGTACCTATGTAAGTTTCTTCCATTCCATTAAAGACAAATTGAGATAGTTTGAAGCGACCAAAAAAAAAAAAAAATCCTGTGAGAAACATGGCTGAAAAATACCAGCAGCAGCAGCAGGTGTACCCACTGGCACCATCTACTATTGTGCCCAGGAGTGATGCTCAAGAATCAGGTACCTATGAATCCATGGAGCTCAGGAAGAAGAAAAGAATGAAAAGGTTAGCATATATCGCTGCGTTTGCTGTATTTCAGACAATAATCATCCTTGTTTTTGCCCTGGTGGTGATGCGCGTAAAATCACCTAAAGTAAGATTGGAGGACATCAATGTCATCACCAAAGGGAATGACAACATCAGGCTCAATGCACAAGTCAGGATAAAGAATACTAATTTTGGGCGTTACAAATTTGATAGCAGCATAGCTACTTTGACCTCAGGAGGTGTATCGGTGGGAGAATTTGTGATCCCTGATGGGCGGGCCAGATTGAAATCCACCAAGACATACTATGTTGTTGTGGATGTTACTAGCCCTTCAAGCTCTGGCAGAGGTGGCTCTAATTCTGGACTGCTGCAACTGAACGCTAAGGCTGAGTTGACTGGAAAAGTCGAATTCCTGCTGGTGTTGAAGAAGAAAAAATCTGCAGAAATGGATTGTACCATGTCGGTTAATTTGTCAACAAATTTTGTCCAGGACCTCACATGCCAGTGAGGGCTTTGCTCAAGAGCATTCTTTTTGTAAAAAGCTTGTTTAGCTCGTCTGCTGCCTGTGAAAATGCTTCCTCATCCTTGTTTTTTTCACTCTGTGTTTTTACTATGAAATTCACGTTTTAGGTTAGTTTTTGTCAGTCACTTGAACTCTTCTTGGTCTTGAACTACTATTATTTACTTCCACCTTCACATCTTGTGAACTTTTGATATTGTAACAGCTGCAAAAACTTTTGTGACACCATTGAGAATGAGATTCTCTGCGGTGATTCATACATGTATACATGTGTATATATATATATATATAAAGCAGTTTGGTGATCATCAGGACATTTCCTTTGCTGTTTAGAGCAGTAAGTTTCAAAGTTACTGATATGTTTGTTGGGGGGGGGGGGGGCTATAAAATCAGGCATTATTAAATTATGCTTTTTCTACTATTTGATATCATAAGAGCACGGGATACTGCACTAGGTAAAGAAGGTGAATCCACAATAAAAACTTTAAAATTACCACTCAGCCTTAATTATGACAAGGAAGCAATTTATAGAGTGTTACAATAGTTTTTTTTAAGAATACCTAAATAAAATTTCAAAATTTACAAATATCTTAAAAAATACATCTACAATAAAAAAATTTTCACAGGCAAATGCTACAATGTAATAGATTTAAAAAAAGAATCCCTAAAAACACCTAATCCACACATCAACAGGCCAGCGACACGCACTCATGGGTACTTCTCTTTGATCGGCTTTGGCGATTAAACTATTGGGCCTGCATTGTTGGATGGTGAGCTGGGTTTGTTCTGGGCTGTAGTCAAGTCTCTCTGGTCTAGGTGGCACGACAAGTTCAAAACGATCAACCAAAGTCTACTTCGTGAGTCCGATTTAATTTTAGCCCCCAAGCCCAAACTGTACCTCACAATTTGCATAGAGAACAAAAAAGAAATAAAAAATATAATTATTCCGACATGAAAAAGAGAGAAAGAGATGAGACAAAAAGGGCAAAAGCATGCAGCAATAACGGTTAAAAGAAGCTCTCTGTTTTTTGAAGTTTAAAAAATCAGTTGAATTCGAAATGGCAGCAGGGAAGGTTGCGATACGAGGAGGCACCACACCAACAGATTCAAGAAGGTTTTAACTTTTTCTTTTGGCTCTTTGGAGTTTGAGAGTCGATTAATAAATTCTTCAAACTCTTCTCAAATGGATTCCCTACTAAAAGATATTGCAGAGAAAGCAGGCAGTTTTGAGTATATGAATTGATCAACTGAGAACACCTTTAAAGGCGTGTGTTAAAATGAGAAAATAAAAACACTAATAATTAAATAATTACTTCCAGTTTGACTTGCTAACTTTTAAGGGGTTGAAGATCATCTTTATTTTTCTTTAAGGGCTTGGATTGCCCTTATCTTGTAACATTCCAATCCGAGTAAGAATACTAATGATTCTAAATTGGTGGACCTTGTCTTTAAAAAAAAAACTCTGCTGATGTCTGCGGTAAAAGCGAACGTGATCGAGTTTGATTACCAATTTGTTCAATCATCGTTGTTTATTCTGATTTAACCAATTTGAAGAAATCAATCAACTCGGTGAATGATGATGGCCATTTCAACTTGTCAAATGCTGCCTTGTATATTAAATATTATATACTCCTATAACAAGATTTTACTTGAAAAGACCTGCTATGTATAAATACGTCCATCCAGCTTCCCAGGCCGACAGGAGCACAAATCCCATCAAAAGATACTGCTGTTGATCTAGCTAGCCGCATACACCCTTCGACAGCCCTCCAAAACTCCTCTCCTCTCTCAAATCTTCAAGCTATCTCCACAAGATGTCGGAGGAAAGCCACGTAACTCCACTAGCACCGCCACAAATTTACCGGAGAAGTGATGAAGAATGGGGGGCTACGGCTACCACAAAACCAAAAGTCATTCATCACAAGCACGGAAGAAGCAGCAAATGTTTCGTCTACCTCTTACTGTTTCTCGTCCTACTAAGCATAGCTTCTTTAGCCTTCGGATTAGTAGTTCTGCGCGAATCAACGCCCCTAAGCTTAAGCTGGAGCTGGTGGAGATAAAGAATCTCAAGTACACAGCTCCAGATTTTGCTTCACTGAACATGACTATGGTTGCACAAGTGAAGATTTATAATCAGAACTTCGGTGGATTCACGTTTCACAACGGCAGCACGAGCGTGGTGTATGGGAACACCACTCTCGGGATGACGTATTGTAAAAGCGGGCTTGTTAGGGGCAGAAACTCCGAGAGAATGACCGTTGCTGTACAGGTAAAAGCCAATAATGGTTTAGCTGAGAACAAGAATTTTAGCAGTGATATGGGCTCGGGGTTGGTGAAATTGAGCAGCTATGCTAATCTTAGGGGTGAAATTCGTGTGTTGAAGCATTTTACTAGGCGTAGAACTTCATTCATGAACTGTACCATGAGTCTTAACTTGACGAGCCAAGCAGTCCAGGATCTGAGATGCATGTAATCTTCACGGGACGGTTCTCTCTTCTTTTTTTTCCCCCTTATTTCTTGTACATGCTCTAAAACGAGTGAGTAGAGTATCCAAATAGAGATTCAATCTGTACAATTTTTTAGTATAATGGTGGTGAAAGCTGCTTTGGTTTGACGTGTAATGCAACATTAATTGCTCTATAATGAAGCGGGATAATGACACAAAAGTTTACCCGGTTCTTTTTGAGTGCATTCTTGATGCACCTGGTCCCATGATAATGGGGTTTTTCTTGTTCTTCCAAGTCGTTTCTCTTTGTTTTCTGCCCTCTCTAGCTTCCAAGTTGTTCTCTTTACTTTGAAAGTCGGTCAAAATCCAATTACGGCACGAGGCGTCCTGAAAATTCAAGTCAAGGACAATTAGACTAAATCAAGACACGAATTCGATAGATTCTTTAACTAAATATGACCATGTTTGAAGCCTGATTGCTAGCTTTATCGCTCAGAAAAAAAAAAAAAAAAAACTTGCCGTAAAGTGTCAAAATGGTCTTTGGGATATACAAACCATAAAACTCGGGACTTGTTAAAAGCTAGCTGCTCCTAAATTTTGGGAAAGGTAAGTAACAATTCTTTGTTACAAGAATCTTGCGTCGAGAAATTATGGAAGTACTCGAGTCCGCTAAACTTAGATTTGGTTTGGATAGGCAAAACTTTCTAGGTATTGGCGAGATGTAATAAGCATTCTTGCCAGAACTGTAACTGAATATGTCTATACACAAGTAAAATGACGACACATACTTGAACATCCTCAGAATAAAACGGAATTTCTAGGCCAACGGCAAAGTATAAATTATGGTACCTGGCTTGGCGGCTGAGCCCGGATGTCACTATCTAATTTTGGCAAATGCATACCGGCACGGCACAGATTAGTTGGCAGGAGATAGTCTGATATGGTTTCAGCCGACAGCACCCGTAAGAGCATTTCAGTTTTTGCACAGAGTGCGTTGGAACCTGATAGTATGAATATCTGCACATTTTCCAGTCAATATTATGGATTTTTAGCCTGCCAAAAGTTGGGGGGGGGGGGTTTTGAAGTGGTGTAGGTTGTAAAGAATTGTTTTGCCAAATTTTGTTGCAAATCCAATTTCACCCGAAAAGCGAAAATGTTAGCCTAGGGCCCGATTTAACATAGTTCATACACACAAGCTTGCTTATATCTGTGCTGTATCATTCAATCTAGTGGCATAATTTTTTGATGATTGAGGAACAAGTTATCAACAATGGATGTCTGTTAGCAAGCTCTACTTAGTGTCGCATTTTACTGAAATCAATCAGGTTTTTCTATACGCTGGAAAACTTTATTAGACTTGATGCATTTTACGGAAAAGAGGGGGGGCCTGAATAGACTACATTTAACCATTGTCTATTGGTGAGCCCACAAACACTTAAATTTGCAACGGCTCCATCCACATGGATGATGGAACCAGTGGCAGGCATGATGCATCATATGGAGCTCCCCTTTCCAGCCGCCACTGCTACAAGTTTTTATGTCTAATTACTGAACCAAAGTCCCAGTTTAAAAGAAAATGCCGTGAATGTTTGCGAAGAAAGGGATCGTTCTATCGTAGGACAAAAAGTTTAGACTTGGTTGACCTGATGATGAAAGATTAATGCACATTGGAAACTCAGACTTGGGAGGGGAAATGGACGTTGGAAGCCACTTGGGCATGAATTAAGTGCAGGGAGGAAAAATTTAAGCTTGGTGAAGAAAGAGATAATGAAAGAGAATCTGGAGCTGTCACGGGAGTCATTTTTCATTTTGGTCACGACAATGTGTTAATTCAAGAAACGTCAGTACTCAGATTAGATTTAATGACGGGGACCCATATTATCCAAACCGATTCATGGGTGTGGAGATTTTGTTGGCTGGGCTCTCATTCTACCATGGGCTTCTGCAGTACAAGTAGTCAGGGAGCTCATGCAACCAAGATATCTTGTCGAGCAATCAGAACTCTTTTGTTGCCCCGTAGCTCAAGCGGTCCGCTCTCCCTCTTTAGATTATGGCGACCTTCCTGACAATCAGAATTCGACTCTCGCTGTTAACGCGTTCGGGAGATGAGGTCTCTCCACTCGAGCCGGAGTGGGATTAGTCGAACCCCGTAAGGATTGATCCAAATATCCACTCTGTCAGAAAAAAAAAAAGAAAAAAAATCAGAACTCTTTTGTTTTTTCACATTGCTTGTCTTTTTTTTTCGCAACGATAGAATTCCTATAATTTAATCTAGCCTAATCTAGGGGAGGGGGAGGGGGACTCGATGTAAATAAAGATTTCATCAAATATGGCCAATTAAGGCCGTCACATGTTGTGACAAAGTTTTGGTGAGAGGCAAGAGTCAAACCCACGGTTGCTTGTCTGATTGGCTTCCTAAGCCCAAGCTATGGATGTTTCATTTCATTTGAGAGAAGCAGGTCAACGTGAAAACCCCCTCATGCACAAAAAGAGCCCATTTCGTTTCAACTTTGAGAAGAAGATTTTCTATTTACAATCTCTTTCATTTTATCATCCAATTCAATTATTATCCATCTTAGCCGCATTCTTCCTGGCAAAAATCTTTCTTCGGGTGTCAAAAAAAATTTATTGCTTGGATTGCTTGTTTCCGTCGAAAAATATTGTCGTTTTCCGTGATCACATTTCCCTATCACATTTTTCTCTCACATATATCAAATCACTACAGTAATTTTTCCCATGAAAAATGACGGAAAATGCAATCCAAACACAACCTTAAGCTTCTAGCTAAAAACAACTAATAAGCAATGGATGAGTGGTCAAGATCTTTATTAATTGATTTAGTTAGTATTGACCAACCGATATAGATTTAGTTTCATTAACATTAGGACAACTGGTATCGTCCTATGCAAATCAGTTAATGCAAATAGGCCAAGGACGAGGATCAGACGAGAGGGGGGGGGGGGGGAACCGCTGCAGCAGCTTATCATGACGTTTTTTGCGTCTTCATGGAGTGATATAAAGAATTTGTGCTCCTCCTTAGTCAACATTAATACAACAAAGCTGCTTTCCTCGTTTGGTATACTTCTTTTTTGCCTGGTATAATTCCGCTTCCTTGTTGCGCAATGGTAGAATGCCAAAACATGTACGAGATTCTGTCACTTGTTGATTCATAAGTTGTTGTGCAATTCCTTCCTGCTCTTGAAGGAGTTCCACCGTACAAGTCCAACTTTACCCCCAATTTTAAATGAGTAAGGAGATGATGCTGAAAATATTACGATTGTTTAACACCAAAGTTTTTAGCCGATAGCATAAAAGTCTCAATCAAGAGTCAATTAAGCTTCGAACGTCCAAAATCTGTGCAAACTAGATATATACCCCCACCTCTTCAAACCACCCTTTCATGTAACAGCTGAACTGTTCTAATTCCAGTTAGCTGTGGCATTTTATCAATGCCTAGGAACCAGCAAGTTGAAGTAGAACCTCTCTCTCCCAGCTGCGGCCCCTTACTGGAACAACATAGATGATGATGGCCTCCCCGTGGAATTTAAGCGTCATCGCCGCCACCAGAAGTACGTCCTGTGCTGTGGCTGCGTCACCGCCCTGATTTTGATTCTAGTGGTGGTTGTCTGTGTGCTAATCTTCACCGTTTTTGGTGCTAGATGTCCAAAACTGAGAGTGAACTCGCTCCAGATTGATGGCTTGGATCGTGTCAACTGGACAGATATTAGGCCTAACACAAATTTGTCCATCATAGCCGATGTCTCAGTGAAAAATCCAAATATAGCCTCCTTCAAATACAACAATGCATCAACCATTCTTTACTATGATGGGAACATCGTCGGAGGAGCTAAGACACCAGGAGCAACTGCCAAGGCTGGTCGGACTCTCAGATTGAACGTGACTATGGATATTCTGCTTGCCAAGTCCTGAATGTTTCCCGGCTGCAGGCTGATTATCTTGCAGGGATACTGCCAATGAGTAGCTACACCAGAATCAGTGGCAGGGTGAAAATTTTTAACCTTATAAAAGGGGTGTTGTTGTAAGGACAAATTGCAGCATGATTGTTAATGTTACTAGTTATACCATTAAACATCAGGACTGCAAGAGAAAAGTTACTCTGTAGCAGACTGGCAAGGCATATCTGCAGAGGATTATATTCTTTATTTACTGGAATTAATTCCCGCAACAGATGTAAATACGAATGATGAGTCTACGTTAAAAAAAAAAAAAAAAAAAACCGTCCTATAGTCAGTGTCCATTTTTATGAAGCGTATTAGTATATTGTCGTTGATATCATGGTTAAACATTGATTAAATGTTGAATAAACAGGTAAATTGAACTTACAACTTCTGGGAACAAACTCACTGCGCTTGTCAATTTGCATCTGTTTGAATTTTAGTGATGCAAATTCGGGCTTTCCTTGTAGAAGGAAGTCTTGAGACTATAAATCTAAAATGGACTAATTCTATTTTGCATTTCTAAACTTGTATCACTTTTTTAATTTGCACTCTATACTTTAATTTTGAATACCTTGCACCCTAAACTTTTAATTATGGACACTTTACACCTAGCTTTGCAAGTTTGTCTAATTTAACTCCAATCAATGACAATATTACCAAAATCACTTTACCACATTAACGTTCAATGGCACTATCAATTTCCCCCTTAACGTTACATTATAGTCATTTTACCCCCAAAACTAATAGTCAAAATTAGCGAAATTTGTCAATTAATGTGAAAAGACATGTTTAGCTTTTAAAATTATTATCGTTTTAATTATGGGTCTCATTATCAATTTACCCCATAGAATTATTTTTTAGGCAATTTATCCGATCATTAAACCAACTTAACAACTTTAAAAACTTTAGAAGAAAGTACTCTCCTCTTTGTATAATAAAAATAATAAAAAAGTTTAGAATGACTCTTCTCCTTTTTAGTATCAAGGAAAAAAGGTTAAAGTATTAATCTCTTTCTTCTTGGCAATCTTATTAATATTAAAAATAAAGAAAGATTGGGGGTGGAGAGAGAGAGCTCAATTTTTTTTAAAAAAAAATACAAATAAGAAAGAGTTAAATATTTTTATTATTTTAAAATTATTTTATCTTTTTGTTTACCATTCAATTCCAATCCTAATCCCGATAATTTTAAAGTAATACGATAATGTTAGACTCTTCTTTATTTTCTCTCTTTGCAAAACCTAATTTTCTGTATCTTTCTTTCCTTTCTCTTTTTCTTTTCCTAATATTAATAAGTGTGAAAAAAAAATTTGAGAAAATCCTTTTATTTTTATGTTTTTGGATCTTTTGAAGTGAAAAAAAGGAAGAAAAATCACTCCAACTTTTTTATTTTTAATTATATATAAAAAGGTAAATATATTTAAAAAAATTTTTGACTATACTAGTTAGATTAACAATGAGGCAAAAATGCCTTGAAAAAAATTTTAAGGATTAGAGCCATTGTATCACTATAATTTAAAGAATAAAAGGATATTTTTTATCCAAAATTTCTTTAACATATTGAATTGAATTACTCATGAGGGTTAAGTGATTAAAAAATAAAGTTAGAAGGTAAAGTGATAATAAGCCTAACAATATATCGTTTTGTTCTAATTGCAGAGGCTTGTCTCTATACAAAGGGAATATTACAATTGACTTCAAAGACTTCTAGAAGACAAAAAAGATGGAATAATGCACCCAAGAAATTGAATGTTTCTACGCGAGAGCATACATGTGTCTTCCAACTGCATTGCCGCAGTCAAGGTTCAATGCTCAGAGTACGCAGTTAGGACCAAATTCAAGAGTCTACGAAGACTTTAGATGGTCCAGACCCCCGCAAAAGCTCTACTCAGAAAATAGTAAACTATTATTCTTCTAACAAATTTAAGTAAGGTTTGTAGTAGAAAATAGTAAACTAAATTTATTCTTCTAACAAAATTGACTAACTTTTGTTTAACTTGGATGAAAAAAATTAAACCTATCAAAATAAAATGAAGAGAGTATATTAAATAAGGATATGTTAAAAAAAAGTTAAAAATTAACTATATTTTGAACTGAAATGTGAATTATAATTTAAAACAAATGAAAAAAAAATAAGATTATTAAAATGCAACAAAAGGGAATGTTACAATTGACTTAAAGACTTCTACAAGAAAGAAAGATAGAATAATGCGCCCCAGAAATTGAATGTTTCTTTGACTGGCATGTGCGCGTAAACGTGTCGTCCAACTGCATTGCCGCAGCCCAAAAGTTCTTCCATTTTCCAAAAGTTTGCCGCAGTCAAAATTCAATGCTCAGAGTACGCGGTTAGGACGAAATCAAGAGTCTACGGAGAGTTAGATGGTCCAGACCCTCGCAAAAGCTCTACTCAGAAAATTTGTTCAATTATATAAGAGATTCCGTTATGGTACATACTTTCAGCGAGCAACCTAGCTAATTGCGATCGACCCACTTCAGAAAATCTTGCTAATTGTGATCGACCCACTTCAGAAAATCTGCCATGGGCGAGAAAGAACAGGCTAAGCCTTTGGCTCCTGCCATGGGCGAGAAAGAACAGGCTAAGCCTTTGGCTCCGGCATCCCACAGGATCCACGTAGAGGAAGGAGCTGAAGCTCAGTCCATGGAGACTAAAAATTACAGCAGCAGGAGGAGGTGCATCAAATGCTGTGGCATCTCTACCGCCCTCATATTGATTCTAGCTACGACCATGTTGGTGCTTGCTTTCACCGTATTTCGCGTTAAAAAACCCGTTTTGACGATGAACTCCGTCAAGGTCGAAGGATTGGATGTTGCTATGGAGGCAAATTTTCGTCTGGGGACAAACGTGACACTTGTAGTAGATGTCTCGATGAAAAATCCGAACGTGGCCTCCTTCAAGTTAGATAATTCGACGACTTATCTTTATTATGGTGGCAAGATGGTTGGGGAAGCCATGACTCCGCCGGGGCATGCCAGGGCGAGGCGGACGATGCATATGAATATCACGGTGGATATTCTGGCAGATCAACTGCTGGATGTGCACCGGCTGGGGAGTGATCTGCAAGCAGGGGCTTTGCCTATGGGTAGCTACACAAGAATAAGCGGTAAAGTCAACATTTTAAACATCATTAAGAAGCGCGTTGTTGTGAGAATGAATTGCACTATGACAGTTGATATCCACAGCCAGTCCATGAGGGATCAGGACTGCAAGAAACATGTTTCCCTCTAGATTGAGCACCGGTTAATTAATTAGGATTATTTATTTATATTATTGAGGGTGTATGGTTTCAGAATTAATTTGGTAGAATCCTAAAGATACATAGATCATTCCATGCTTGCATCAAGCGGTGGAATGAAGAATATGCATTCCGTTATGTAAAATTCAAAAATTGAGAGCATTCAAATATGCACTTACAAAACTTTAAACACATTGCTTATGATATCAATAATGGCTACTTGAGTATTTTTTTTGATACTATCATATTCTTGACTGGTTAGAGAATTTGTACGACTACTAGCTATGGCCGATGCAGAAGCAGAATACTTTTTTTCTTTTTTTTTTTTTCTAGAAATGATAACTGTTGTATAATCTAATATATTGTACACTAAGGGGAGGGGATAGATCTAAGAAAGTTCAAGAGTAATCCGGAGAGGACTGAACCACCACTAGATCAAACGAATCCACTATACACTCGTTTGAATTTTTTAAATAAAATTACTTTTTAATATGGCAATTGGTGAGAGGCAAGAATGCATTATATATCAAATTTTAATGCTTTGGTGGTGGCTACCGGTCCAAAGGCTGGTGGTTGCGCGATGCCGAATACATTAAAAGCCTTTTCGGTAATTTTTTGTCCAACATGAATATAATAGTCTCTTGCAAATTGAAATAGCGTGAGTAAATTTTACCTGCCGACTAAGCTAAATTACCCGATTTCATAGTGGGTTGAATAAAATTCTTAGGCCTATTGGGTTGGGTGCCAGACCAAGTCAACAAGCAGCCATAATCCTCCTGGGACGACACGGAATTGATCGTGGAGCAACTTCCTAGTCAGTAGTCACTGGTCTAGAGTCTAGACATAGACTAGCCCAATTCGGGTGGTAAAATACTTCGATTTGTGTTGATATATGGACTGTAGGTTTAATAACACTACGCGAGGCCACCTAATAACGCATATACGTATTATGGGCTTTTCGCAAAGAATGGGGAATTTAAGTAGTTCAGTCCAGAAGCACCCAAATGTAAAAGATTTGATTATTGAAAGAAATGAAGTTTAACTGAGTTTTCAGCTTCTTCGTGCTTCCCAATTTACCATATCGAGAAGATGGAAAAAAAAGGGTTTGAAGGTGGCTCCTAAAAAAAGGCACGCGAGGTTTCCCAAATTAGAAACTGCACTATTTATGCCCATATATTACAAGGAACAGTTTCATGAATGTGAGCGAGGTTTATGCTCAAAACCATATAATCCTTCAAGTTTTCTTTTCGCTGCTTTTATGATCTTATATCAACTAGAGCTTCACACTTTTCTTGGACATGATTATATATATACATCCCTTCCATGCATGAACTTGCAAGGTTTTTCCCTCCCAAAGGGCATATGGAACACTTTTGTCTTTGGGTGGCGGATTTGTACTTTTATGATCAGCTCCTACAATTTTGACTTTTGAGACATGAATATTTTTTTTTTTTATCGCAACGATAATATTTGTATAATCTACTTTAATTTAGTCTAAAAGAAAAGGCAGTCGACGAAAAAATTGTCGGAGTCCCACCCTCACCCAGATTTAAATGTCTTGGTGGTGCCAACAGCCCAAGAAGTTTGAGCCATGATTCATCAAATTTGTGTAGAACATTCTTTGCGTAAATTTTTTTTGTCAGAAAAAAAAATAAAGAAAATAAAGTCAAATACTCATAGAATTAATTAAAAGTGGAAAACATGCTAAATTTTGACATTAAGACTTTAGAGAAGTGCATTTGTATGCTCGACCTGGACCCCGGATTGAGCTACATACAACACCCTTAAGATCTCCCATTTCCGGGGGACCGTGAATATGTTAGTAGTACATGAGAATGATTTCTGGGCATTGAAGGGATTTAATTTGAAAGGGTTGATAGGACCCTCCATCCAAGTCTTAATTACGTATATATATCAGGGTCCTTGGCCCGGAGAAACCCTCCCCCAACACGCGCGCACCAACAAGGCAAAATACCACTCCCAGCAATTCAGTGCTCTGAGCTCTGCTGTCTGCTCTTCTTTGGTTCCTTTCGGCTTTTCGTGTCATATGGGTTTCGTCAAGTAGGTGAAGTAACTCGCTTGAATTTACCCACCACATCTTTTGGAAGAGATTTTAACCTAGTACTACATCCATATTGATTTGACCAGGCAAAATTTCTCTTGCCCTTCTATTTTTATTTTTTTTATCATTTGTTTTCTTCATAAAGTTCTACTTGTCAATCGGGTCCAATAAATTGTCGAATTCAACTCATTTAATTTGTAATATTTTTGGATTTTAAAATATAATTTTTACATTAATAAATATGAAACTCATACTCAAATTACATAATATTTAAATTGCAAGTCTTATTCGAGTTTAGGTCAAACTCACTTATTACTCATTAATTTTCTTAATATAATTACTATAACTATTAAGTTGTAAAATTAATTTAATATTTACAAGACTACAACATTAAAACTAAACATGAACAAGTAATAGTTTTTAAAAGGTATATAAATCAAAAAATTTTCAACACTATTTATATCTAATTCATTCAAAATACATAAAAAATAGTAATAAAACATGCGATCATAAACCAATACATTTTCAAATGTTGGACTTTTTTGTAACCTTGTGATTTGAATCCAAACATGTTTGATGATTTGTGTTTCTAGACAAAAAAAAAAAAAATCAACCAATATTATGCTAACACAAAAATTTACTCAAACAATAAGAAAAGTTAGATATTCAGTTATGCATTACTAATATTGGGTCTCAAGAAAAGTTAGTAGAAGAGTTTTCAGATATATTTTTGTGTTTTATAATTTGTATATATTTAATATTAAGTAATAATATATTTGGATATATAATTATACATAATATCAAAATATAAATATTATATATATAGGTAATTAAAGGGCCGGACCTATATCGGATTTGAGTCTAATGAGATTCAAACTTGGCTCATATTTAATTCGAACCTAATTTTTAAACTCAAATTTAGACAGACTTAGTAAAATGTCGGACTTATCGGACTTTTTCTCAAGCCAAACGAGTCGAGATCAAATTCATCTTACTCCATTGACAGTCCTAGATAAAGTGAATTGAAATCAAGGTCCTACGGTGGTAATAACTCACTTTTGAATCAAGGGCCTTCAACTTCAAGCCGATTCTTCTTCATGATCTAATCTGAGTCCCTACCTTTCCGGTCCTTGAACAATTGCATTAATATATAAACGGTCAAGTAGACGGATGGATAATGCTACATTGCTACTATAATAATCAATAATGCCAGACTACAGTAACGAATATCAAAGGTAATGGTCAAAGGAGCGAGGGACAAAGCCTTCTCACTGCTTTAGTAGCCCCAAACCAAATGGTCCAAATCCCGCCACAAGGAGACAAATTGAATCTCCCACGTACATTTCATCAAGACAGGAATAGGGAAGTATCAACATCAAGTATCTTCACGAGTTCCAATAGGAATGGAGTCCTGTCGCGGACCATGCTTAGTAAATATGGGAAATGGTAGAGCCTTTTAAGGAATTGAACAACCTACGATCAAGATCATGTCCATATCCGACTCGTTTGAATTCGAAAAAAGTTTAATTATTTAATAAATGAATCAAATTTAAATATAATATGAGAGTCATTTAATAATTAAGTCTAATATGAATTTACACGAATAGTTCATGAATACATATATAAATATATTAAATGTATATTATATTTTACTACAAAGGAGTAATTGTACATAAATTAGTCTAATATTATTTGTTTTTTTAAATCAAGAAACACAATTAAGCTTATTCTAAATAATGCATTATATATTAAAAATATAATTAAATTATCTCCGAATTCAAATTCGGTCTTGAGCTCAAGTTTGAATTTGGCTCATTTAATTTAATTAGTCGAATTCAAATTCGAACTCAAGTATTTGTACAAATAAGTGAATCAAATTCAAGCAATTTAATACTCGAATCGAACTTAAACCCTATTCCTATAATATAGGATCAAAACTTGAAAACAAATATTTGACTCGTTAAAAGTTTTAGACGTGGCTGTGCTTGGTGTAGTTGCAACGTTGCATATGTTATAATTTGATATATGCTTGTACGCACGGCTATGCTGCAACGTTTTTAAACCCGGACCGTAGAGTAAACTAAAAAATTTTTTTGATTCGATCTCGATTCAAAGGTTTAATAATTTTTATTCATTTTAATATTAAGAATTATGAATAAAACTAAAATATTTATTTTAAAAATAAATATTTAATAAAAACCGATTAAACCTCCCAATTTTAACCGATTCAACCAGTTATTGACCGGTTCAATTAATTATTTGGTTTTTTTAATTGAATCGGATCGAAGGCATGGCCAGATCACGATTCAACAAGTCGAGCCCCGGCGGATCCGATTCGATTTTCAAAACATTGCTATGCTGTTGCATTGATTCGATGTACATGAATAAAATTATGAATATAATAAAATTATACCACCGTACATTATATTACGTAAACAAGTGTAATAATTGAAAGTCCCAATTATACTTGTCCGTGGTCTGTAAATAATGGACTAGTCAGGTAAAGACGCAATATACAATCTCGTATATTTGTCCCTGAAGTCTCATCCTCGCCCACACAATCTTCTCACTAATCCGTTCCTTTTTCAGTTCTACGACCTTTCGTGTTTGCACTTGCAGCAGCTCGCACGATCGTATATTTTCTCCTCTTTGAATGGAAGACAGGACAGGAACAGGGAAAGGCGTAAAAAGAAAAAGTGAAGCGGAAAGGAAGAATCTCACTGCTATTGTTTTAGGTACTTTCTCCAATTTCTCGAACTACTCCCCCAGCGAGAGACCAGAAGACATATTTTCTTCTTTACCGGCGAGTTCATTCCGATAATGAACAAACACCAAGAAACTGGGGACTATCCGATTTTCCTCCTCAACGTGAATCAAACATTTCCTCAGAGAATGTTAATTACAAAAATTCAACTCTACAAAAAAATCCCAAGTGCTGCTTTTCAAAATCATTTTGCCGTTCCAAAGAAATTCAACAGGAAAGATCAAATCAAACCCTTTACTAATAAATGAACTGTGGTGCCAACTTGAATTCGTCCTTAATTACATGTAGCTAGCACAGCACTACTATTGTGCTCTCAAATTTCTGACCATCCTTACAAAATACAGAAAAATTCTAACACGTGATATCACTGGCATACCCCTTCCTTTCCCATCACAACTTTGCAAGAAAATACCGGAG